AAGAATAGAAAAAGTCCGTTTCCGTTGGAGTAGCCTGTGAAGGAGGCTAGAAAAGATTCTGTATAGTGAAACACATGTTCACCTGAATAAATCGATCTTGTTCCAACAGGACAAGCTGTCCGTCCCCAGCGTTCAAATATAACTCCAGCATGTCTCTTTCCTTGGTTGCTCGYATCAGGAGGATCTTGCGCAGCCAGGTAACAGTCCTTTTGAACACGTTTACCACTTTGCGTGACGTAACAGGTAGTAGATCCAGCTTCTCCCTTTTGCCCCCTTTTACCTGCTGTTCCCGGATTACCTGGTTCACCGCTTTCTCCGTTACGTCCACTTGGACCGCGGTTCCCTTTTGGTCCGGGTAATCCTTGTTCTCCTATAATGAGGAAAATGAATGATAATGATACGAATATATAGCAACCAAAATTGCCATATTATACATGTAATATGTACTACCAATCATCATCATCATCATCATCATCATCATCATCATCATCATCATCATCATCATCATCTTCATCATCAATATTTACATTTTTCCATCCCATACCCTTATCACCCATTGCTCCTCGAATTCCTTTTAACCCGCGCTCTCCTCTAGGACCCTGCAACCCGTTTACACCGGGAGGACCAGGAGCTCCTGGCGGGCCTGGTAAACCATCTTTGCCGTCTTTACCATCTCTTCCTGGTATGCCCATCGGACCATCATTGCCAGGTCTTCCTTCCATACCATTTGAACCTGGTCTTCCTGGCGGCCCTGACGGTCCCCTGCGMCCGGTAACGGTTCTACTTCTTTTGATTTCGTCCTGCATAAGTCGGAGCCTATAAAATGTAACTTAATATCAACACAAACCTGTTAGATATACTTGTATCCCTATACAAATCGCATACTTTGCTCATATAATCAAATCATCAGCATACGTGGCTATTTCCAGGGATTTTGTGTGAGCCAATTAAAATGAGTGAGCTGACTGACGTTTTTGTCATCTTTTYGTATTATGCTAAATATCTTAAAAGGATACCGAAAAGATACTAGATTATCCGGTGTTGGTCCGAAAACCTTTGAGGCACCCTAAAAGATACCAGATCCCTGTTTTTACYCGTAAAAGATACAAMGATCAKCCCCACCCTTCCATATATGGGAGCTTCCCACTCCCCTCCAGGGTGCAACGTGTCCAGGATCCAGAACGTGATGCATTCCCGTGATTAAAAATGATATTYTYCCAAGAAGAAAATCCGCAAATAGCACTAATCCTACTTTTTTCTGATTTTTTTTATCACAGTCGATGTAATTATTTCCATTCCGTAGACCCTGTTGACATGTGGTAATTTGCCCAAGGTGTCACGGCTAAGAGATACTACCCTGTTACCTATATGGCCACCCTAGACTTCCGTAGGCCGGGTCCGTCGGCTTCATGTATTTCACGCTTCACGTTGTTCACAAGGTCAATGCGGTATCTCCGCATGAGAAAGTCTCTTATTACAGCTTAAAACATTTATATCTAATGGTCTTAATATTTTCAAAGGTTAGAAAAAAAAAAATACAAAAAGCAGTTAGGCAACAGGGAAATATAAAAGGAAAATAGGTATTTGAAAACCACTTCAGGTACGGTATAATGCAATTATTTGGATTACAGAGTTAAAATTATCTCTTGTGCTAATCATTCTCCATGCATGTATGCTAATTAGTTTTGGTTAAACTTACCGCGTTTCTATCATCATTATCTGAGTCTGAAGTTGATAGAGGTTATTTGCTCCAATAACTTGCCTACGAATGCGCTTTGGATTTGTAATACTCTTGTCAATATTTTCGCTTTCTAATTTCTGAGTTTTATCAAGTTCTCGTGCTGTAGGTCCTATAGGCTTTTGTGGAGTGTAAGGTCCATTGCGTACAGGCTTGCACTCGCAAGAATGATGCTGCACTATTAACAAATGCGCCAAACAAACCAGGGAAAGACTCATTGACGTCACACAGACTCCAGMCATTAACCACGGCCACCATGATTTCTCCTTGTCTCTCGGTTTGTCAACCATTTTAAAAGAACAGCAGTTTATGAATCGACTTCCAGAGCAATAAACCTACATGAGGTGATGCTTGAAGGACCTTTGGGTGCTTTCTTGAAGTGTACGCTGRTAAATTAAAATGCTGGATGCCCGTAGCGCAGGGAAGTGAATGTTATGTTTTATAACAAAGAATCTTTGTCAATCGGTGTATCCAGATACTCAGCGGAAATGACGTCATGATGATCAACAGGACCAGAGCAAGACAGGACAGACAGAGAGAAGGGACGAAAAAGAAAAGAAAGCGAAGAAAAGAAGAACATAATACGAAAGAAAAAAATTATTGAATCTATACAAGAAATGAGATCGATTTTGGAATATGATGTAGTAGAATCAGTGCCCTTCACTTCAGTGGGGTGGTCTCTGGACGGAAATTGAAATAAAAACATATTTTTGTATTAATTTATTATTAGTTATTTATCTTATAGTGATTTTCCTCGCAGTCGTTGCCTAAACTAAACACGGATGCCTTAATATCGCTACATCGCGAGTGACATCGGGCTTCCTGTGTCGATCTATCCCAGAGATCTTCGCGACACTAGCATTCGAAAACAGGTTCGCCATCTTGGAAGTATTCATCAGAAAGTTGTTCGTTCTCTTTGATCTGCGAGTACTTCATCGTAGTTGTAGCGGCAAAATGACCGCTCAAGAGCAGATGAAGAAAATGCTGGACGAGCTGATGGGAACGAAACGGGATGGTGAGTAATATAATTCCAAAAGTGTTTCGTTTGAAAGCTGAYAGAACTTGAAAACAGCTGGTTTCGAAGCTAGGCAATCGCTTCCTCATTGATTCAGGCATTTCTGTCTGTTAAGAAATRATCAGAGGACTTTATTATTTGTTGGTGTATTGTCAAGATTGTCAAAATTCATGCCCAATGATGCGTCTTTAATCCAGAAACCCATGATAAAAAATTCGGTCTTTTTTTGTATGTAAAATCGTCGAAATTAGCTGCATAGAATGGTGCCCTTATTTAAATCCATGTCAATAAATTTTTATATATTCCATAACGACATCAGCATTTTGCAATATTACGCAAATGTTGCCATGTTTTATTTACATGTAMAATCGTATCTGGATTAAAGAACCCYATTATTTTTGAACGTTATCCAAACCGGGTCTGTATTTACCTGATTCCCTTGCAAATGAGTTTTTAGTTGTACCTACATGTATGAGTAGTGATCCATGGGTGTGCATTAATAAACGCTGTTACTGCTTTCTTAAACAAAGGCGCTAGCCAACCTATATCATTATTTGTTGAAGCCAGTGGATCTGTAAGTAGGGATACGTAAGTAGGGGAGATTTCTCCAAAAATTATGTACATTCATTTTTAATCTAAACATGGGTTTGTGGTCTGTTGATGGGTTGAAAAATTGCTTTGAATTGTTGGTTGTGTGTTATTTGGTTTTCCTTATCCCATTCCAATATACTGTAAACATGTATGCTAACAAAACAAAACATTTTTTAGTCCATTTATTCACACACTGGTGAAATTATGTGAACTTATATGGATCGAAATTGCACAATTTAAAAAAGGAACTAACAAAGTTTGGTGTTAATAAGATCAAATGTGAAACATCAACAGCTTTTCAGACCCAGCGTCTGGCATTCTATACATTTCTTTGGAAATTCTAGCATTTTTGAAAGGCTGTAAATTGTTCACTTTTGATCTGATTAACACCAAACTTTGTGAGTTTCTTATTTACAGTGCAAATTAGGTGACTTGTACCCAGTTTCCCATAGTATGAAATCAGCCAATGTCACACACAAGGGTTTTTAAAAATACATCTAATTGTAACAAGATTTGTTTACTTATTATAACTTTTGGCCTACAATAAACAATAAAGACATCTTGCCTGTATAATATGTTATGTTCATCCAGATCCAATAAAAACGAACGCATATTGACTGACTAACAGACAATTTGATATTATATTTCTATTTGTTCATTACTGCTATTGCTCTGACAGGTGAGGCRAGTGATGTTGGTATTAGTTTCACCAATGACAGGGTCTGCAAGAGCTATCTTATGGGCCTGTGTCCTCATGAACTCTTCAACAACACAGTAAGACCACATGATTATATACCACTAAGTTGATCTTTATCAAGGGATCTTTATTTTACCGAAAATATAAGAAAATGYTGTTACTACAATAGCATTGAAGGTTTKCATTTTCCCCGAGTTGAGACTTTGCAAAGGGCCTAAKGGTTAAGCCTTCTGGGAAATTACAGGGTTAGCTTGARCAACTTAGGGAAAATGTAATTTGTTTGCTATTGTACTTACAATATTTTCTCATCCTTTCTTTTGTATTCGGTAATTCCTTTGCATAAGAGAACCTGCTGTCAAATGAAACAGCAGTTATTCACTTTGAATTTCAAAATAGAGTACTCTAGAGTATTACCAGTGTAGTTTTTAGATTATTTCTGATAATCATAGTTGTCATTGATATTATCCCTTCATACATGTACATGTATTTATCTTTTGCTAAGTTCTCATTAATAAAAAGTTTTTTGTATTTTGTGTTCACTAGAAATTCCAGCTTTTAAAGCAAAAGATGGACCTGGGGACATGTCAAAAGATCCACAACCCYGCACTGAAGGCTGATTTTGTTGAAGCATCMAAGAAGAGAGACTATGGCTACGACATTGATGTAAGTGYTCACCAGAAAGGGAACAAATAAGTGCATGTATCTAAATTTATTATTCTGTTTTGTTTTTTATTGAATTTTTTCTT